TGCCATTAGGTTATGAAAAGCGAAGAGCCTGACCTTTCTTTTCAGACTCATTTGCTTTTGTGATGAGAGACGGGTTTATAGTAAGTCTCATGGGCGGCACCTGTGTTGGTTTTAGATTGTTCGTTTCATTTTGCGTATTTATTTATTTGTCTGTTTGTTTAAAAGCTTTGAATCTTTTTAAATACTTGGAGAAATATTCAGCTGAGACTCATTATATGCCATAAAACAGCAGTTCTTAAACTGTGGTGTGCAGAAGTCCATGTTGGAAAATCCATTTGATCCCAAGTCCTCACTCCTAGAAACATTTATTCAGTAGACTTGAATGAGGCCCAGGAATCTCTTGTTTTTTGTTTTTGTTTTCCAAGCATCCCCAGTGAATCTGATGTAAAGTCCATAAACTTCACTTTGAAAACCTCTGCCATTGATCATTGAATAAATTGAATAAACTGTTTTGCCTTAGGGTATTATAAAGGTAGTTGCTTCTCAGTACGTCTGCCCAGCAAAGCTTAAAACAAATAGGATTTTGTCCTGTTTTAGTGATTCAAGACAAGGTAGCTTATTGGCTATTTTCCCTTAGTGCCAGTGAATTTATAAGGTTCTTCATCTTATATTAACAGTGTTCCTCAGAACAGGTTTTGATGGGGAAGGAGAGTAGTTGAGAGCAGTAGGTGTTGGGATGGGAAACAGAACAGGGAGACTGAAGGCTTTCCCCACTGGACACTGTTATCCAGAGTACATATGATAATGCTAAGTTCTTACCAATGCTAAAGTAAATTTATGATTTATTCACCCAAAAGACGAAAAGGACTATGAGCTAGGCACTGTGTCAGACTCTGGATTCTTGGACACTGGATTCCTTTTAGAGATTAGCCCATTGATTAAGAGATACAACCCATAAGTAGGGAGGAAAGGTAAAAGGTTCTCTGTGTCTTCCATTCTGCAAAACTTAAACTCACCAGTTCACCCCAGTCCATCAGACTCTGTATGTTTGCGGCCCAGAGTAAGCAACATGCTACCCCTGTAGGAAGCTGTCTGGAAACAGTGACTCTGAACACAAAAATCAGAGATTCCCACTCTGATTATGCAATTGAAGCAAAGAGAGAGGTGGCTTAATCTAATGATTCTCCTCATTGAATTTTCATGTTCCTATTCCCGAAAGTTTCCTGAGTTCTTTGAAGCAGGTCCTAAAAAACCCTCCAGTCTGCTTTCTCAAATGGCATAATGGGATTCATCGATACTGGCATGTGTCTTAGAGTGATCGCTCAAATAAGCTGCTTTGAACTCCTTAAACTAGTTAACTGCTAACAGAATCTAGTACATTCGAGTAAAATAAATGGAAATTCTGCATTTTACTATCTAGAGCATTCCTTGTGGACCTAGAGAGAGAGTGCTTAAAGCTCAGGACCAGGGGAACGTTTATTTTTCCTAATAAAACAGTGTGTGTTAAAACAAATTTTTTGGACGAAACAACTCTATTCCCATCATGCTTCTCTAATTTTCCTAGATTCTCAAGAAATTAAAAGCAATGTTTTCTGTTCATTTGTAACAATGTTCTTAAGCCTAACTTTTCTAAACTATAATTTCCCTCTCCCTCCGCCTTTTTATATTTTGTTTCTCTGTGATGAGAGTTTGGAGTGCTTTAGTATTTCTGCATATTATCATAGGTCTCTCTGATCCCTTTTTGACATCTAAGAGTATAATGGGATGTTAAAGTGGGATTCTACCTGATTCAGTTTCAACTCAGGCATAGTATGACTGAACTAAGATATCAAAGTGAGAGTAAGGCGGTTGCCCCCACCAATATGCAGAATTTACAAAAGGAAAGAAGGTAAGCCCCTTTCCTCTGATACTCTTTGACGCATTAGCTGGATCAAGGACATAAAGTGAGGTCAGAGGGGCACCTGGGTGGCTCAGTGGGTTAAAGCCTCTGCCTTTGGCTCAGGTCATGATCCCAGGGTTCTGGGATTGAGCCCTGCATCGGACTCTCTGCTCATCTGGGACCCTGTTTCCCCCTCTCTATCTGCCTGCCTCTCTGCCTACTTGTGATCTCTGTCTGTCAAATAAATAAATAAAATCTTTAAAAAAAAAAAAAGTGAGGGCAGAGTAGTAAGGAGGAGAGTTTGTGATAACGTTTATCAAGAAAAGGCTGTGGCCATGCTGAGTTCCACCCACTCCATTTACAGAAGGAATGAGGAGCAATGAAAGTTTCTAATAGTAAGCCTGATGGGAGGACTTCAAGGGAACCCCTAAAAGAACTTTGAAGTATATTTCTTGCAATTGGGAGATACAGAGAACGAGTGCCTGAGTCCCACTGAAGAAAGCAAAAGTTGATAGTGAGCTTGAGTTTGACCCCACCCAGCAAATCTGTTGGGAAGAGGAAGGCCAGCTCCTTGGTAGTAGAAATGGGAGAATCTTCTACAGTCCTACTCTCTGAGTTTGTAGGTGCAAAGCATGTACACAGGTTTCTTGTGGATAGATGTGGGACTCACAAGAGTCACGATCCATAGAGTGACTTTGCCAGGGTCGCTAGTGACAGCCAAAATAGAGATGCATCCTATCAGATCAAGAAAATTGTATGTACCAATGTTTCCTTTAAACGTCGACCTGAAGGTAATTGACTAGACTCCTCACCTATAGTTAATTAGGTTTTTGCTTCTTCTTCTCACATAAAAAATTTTTAAAATGTCCTCTCATCCCCACCAATGAAATTGCTTCTTTGAGATCAAACACAAAAAGACAGGAATTTCATCTCCAAGATGAACAGATAGGCTTCATTTAAGGAGTTCAAATCCATATTACTTTTCAATTAACCACCATCTTCAGAAGCAGAGACTTCACCCACAGTGAAATTCCATACTCTACGCAAGTTTTGATGAACAAAATGGAAGGTTAAAAAAAAAAAAAAACCAAAACAGTTAGTGTAAGAAGGGTTGGTGATGGCTTTGTTGTGAGAATGGCTGAGGTGGAGTTGAGGGGTGGGTGGACGACAGAATGTGAGACTGTCGGACGAACTCATCAGAAACTGGGACAGCTTGTAATCAAAACCTAATTGCATCCAGCTCTTGCTTTTGCCTAATGCTAGCCGAGCAAGTGTGTTCACGTGGGCAAGCTTTGCTCTGATGCCCCTGCGGGTTCTCAACATCACAGACGCTGCACTGATAAACCCACGGGTAAGTCATCTACAGTCCACTTACCGATATACATTTATTATACGTTTTTGTATAATAAATGTATTATTTATTTTTTATTATTATTTTATTTATTTATTTATTATTATCATTTATTTCCTTCAAGTATTTGAAGGAAAAGGGAAACGGTATACACGAAAACAGTGGCAGAAATGACCACCAGGAAACTTCAAGGTCACCTGTCAGTAGCCCTGGCTCTGGCTGCAGCTGCTGAGATCACTCTTGCCCTGAGAAATCACTGCCAGGTGGGACTCTTGCTGGGAGTATGACAGTTTTACTCTCTTCCTTGCCTGCCTCGATTGTCCCAGCAACGAGGCAGGAGCAGAGAGCAGTCATTAAGAAGGAGAGTTTTACAAACAGTGGTGTGCTGGTGAACAGGCTGTCCCCAAGGAAATCCCTAATTTGCAGTGTCACCAATTCCCATGGTTTAAATAGTCCCACCGTGGCCAATTTCAAGGATGACGGTAATTAATAACCAGATTGCAACATATTGGAAAACTTAACAATCAGCTGTCATGAGCTTAGTGCTTGCTCACTCCAGCACTCCAACACACTGTTGCTTATAACTCAACAACAATCAATAACAAGTTTTTATAAATATGTGATATAACTTTACTTTCCTGAGAAGATATGCAAATGCAAGAGAAGCAAGGTGTCTAGGTCTTTGCCCAATACAACCACTCAGCAGATATTTTTTTTTAAAAGACTAAAAAACATCTTGGCCTTAGGCTTACTCTGCTCCCCAGCAATTTTTGTTCTATATGATGCAAATATTTTTAAATTAACTTTATATGTAACACTATTAATTAACATAATATAGTTTTTTACAAATATCCATAAATAATTTAAATGGGTGATCATGTCATCATATTACAGATCTTTCAACAAGAATCCACAAACAGCTAATTAATTTAACAGAGTCTAAAATCTTTAGCAAGCTATCATTGAATTGAATGTTATTCATTATTTTTGGAAGTTAACATGTTTGACCAAGACCAGCTCTTTAAAGTGAGGAAGGGGATTTGGTTGGAGTAAGCTCTGAGCAACAGCCTCATGTGCCCTGCTTCAAACAGGGAAACGAAAAATAGTTTGCTAAGAAAGGAAAGTCAGTTGTAGCTTTATTCTACCCACCTTGAGCTGAAAGGGAGTGCGTCTGATAATCTGCTAAGCTCTTCAGACTTAACATCGTAGCTGAAATACTAACCCTAAAGCTGGGATATTATGACACATTGGGGAAGACCAGGGCCCTATCAATCACTAGTTCTGTGGGTTGAGGCAAGTTACTTATGTTCCAGATGCATTCATATTTTCACTGTTAAAATTGTGCCAAAAACACCTGCCTCATTTGCTTCATAGAGTCGCCCTGTGATACATGAAAGCACTTTGCAAACTGGCGAGCCGGCAAGAATACGAAATTATTACATGACATAATACATTACTGATGATGCCAATTTCTAGGGTCTAATTTTAGGGTCACTAATGATTACTCTTTCTTTACTACTGACATGTAGGCACACATCAACAGCTTCTCATGAGCCCTGTGTCAAGGTTCAGAAGGAGGCCTCTGACCAACTTGTTTTATGAAGCCTTCTACATCCCAAACGTGATGAAATCAAGGGAAATTCCCAAGTAAAGTGCACTCCATTCTATGCCCTCTGTGGCTGTGCCCCAGTAAATCTCTCGAGTATTCTCTGTCTTCTTATCATCACATCTAAAGTGGGGTGTTGTTGGCATATCTGTGGCCACCCTCCCAGTCTGGTTACTTTTTAACAGAAGGGCCTCGAAAGACAGGAGTATGGGAAGAATAAAGTGAAACAGCCCAAGAATATGAGAACAAGGCCAGGCCACTGCCCTGGATCTGTTTTTTGCACACCAGGTAAGGCTCCCAGGGCAATAAGACATTTTTCCCATCCAAGGATTTAAGAATTAGACACAGACTCTTTGAGAACCTTCTGTCCTCAAGCGACCCACAGTCATTTCTCGTGGATTGATAAAGCATCTTTGCTGACCCAATGTCAACGGTAAGCAAATTTCTCTGGCCTGTCCTCTGAGTCTTTTTTGGATAAGCTTGAGAGATGAAAACTCACATGCAGAGAGGTTCTATGTGTGTTGATTTGTATGCTCAGACAAGCTGCAGGTGTGGAAAGTCTGCCTCCTCCAACGCAATCACCAGCACCCCTCCACGTGGGAAAGATGGTGCGGAAGCCAAAAGGAGTTTCTAGGGGTTGTACTGCGGATTTGCCAGCAGCACGACCCCCCAGTATGTGTGGTTTTTTAGAACCTGATGGTCAGAGTTGTACATCAGTTCTAGAATATCCCCAGCGTGCAATTCGTAAGTCCCTCCTACATTCTGAAGTTTAGAGTTGTTTGTTAGAGCTTGTATGATGTCTTCGTTTTTACGTAGCCGCACCACAAAAGGAGCTGGTTCCTTGTAGGTTGTGTTGGGAGCCACTTGGCCATAAATGAGATACAAGCCATTCTGAAGTATTTCCAGTTTCTCATCCGCTGTCTTATTCACACAAGGTAGCTTAGGACATGTCATTTGCCATTTTAAAGGGGATGGTCCTGTAAGACATTTACAGAGGAGGAAAGAAAGGAACGCGTGGTTATTCATTTCATTCCCTTCCTGATTATAGTTCTTTCCCACTTACAGGTTGTTTCTCTCCCTAGTCTGTATTAGTTTTCTCCAACCACAATTTTAATATTTTAAGTATCTAGTCCTTGTTTTAGAGCTCTAAAGAAACGGATTTGGAATAGAAAAATGGGTTGAGTTTTAGGGGCACTGTATCTGTTGTCAATCAAGATTTGTGAAAGGAACTAAAGAAGGAGGAAGGGAGAGAGGAATCACACACCAGGATTGTGATGACCAAACTTGACAGGATGCATATTCATGCTTTTCTATGTAAATACTATTTATTGTGTATCATTTTATCAATGAGACCTTCCTCATCAGTCTACAGAAAATAGTGCTCTCCTGCCACTCTCTCCCTTTATCCTGCTTTAGTTTTCTTCACAGAAGGTGTGTCATCATCTAGCATATTATAAATTAAGTGGCTCATTTCTTTATTGTTTGTATTATACCCACTTGAATATAATGTCTTTGAGTACACGTGCTTTTCTGTTTTGTTCACTGCTATATCTTCAGCCCCTAAAAAGTTCCCCAAACCTACTGTTTGCTCAATAAATATTTCTTGATTGAATAATACATCCATGCTCCTGAATTAGATGTATTATGTCTAAATTATGGCTTGGGATCCCAAGATCTGCTTGGGATATCATGGTATATTCATGAGTTTATAAATGGAAATTATTTGAATTTTTAAATACAAAAATTTAAATTTTTAAGTGTTTAAATATAAATATCCCTAGTTTAAAACTGTCAAGGGATGGAGAAAGAGTCAAGACTTTGTCACTTATTTTCATAGGGATATGGGGAATTTACATATTTTTCTAGTGTTAATTGTTTTTGCATAGTAATGTGCTTCAGAGCCCCAGGGAGTGTCTTGATAATTCAAAAATATTTATTTGGCCTGTTCTCTAATTCTCTGTAATTTTTTTATGAGGATTTATTTCATAATTAGAAAGAAACCTCGATAAGAAAGCAATGCAGAAGAGATCACACATTGACTTAAATTGTTATTTATATATAACTGATCGATTATAAGACTCTGAGGGTAGATTCTGAAGGATAATGAAGGAGAGATCATTATAGCAAGTAGCAAAGTTTCTCTGTACCTTCAATGAGCCCAAAGCCCAGTAAATTTCTTTCTGCTTTACACGTAATACTTGACAATAGGCAAGTCACCAGGACAAAGTGTCACTGGTTCTCTCATTCTGCAGTAGGAGCCACTTAAAGACTTGAGGCCACTTAGCAGCACTTGAGTTCCTCAACATTTTATCACCTCAAGAAGGAATTTCAAACATATCATTATTTCCACTCCATTTACTAGAAAAACAAGAACAAATTACAAAGGCAGAGACAAGTACTAAAAAGAGATTCTGTAATTCCCTCAAGCCAGGGAAGCCCGGCATTTAGAACTATATGTTAAAAGAGGGATTAGCGTTAACTTTAGAAATGTTCTGCTCTTGGCTGAAATGTGTGTGTGTGTGTTGGAGGGGAGGGTCTGAAATATGTAAACAATTCAAATGCATTTATTTTCGATTTTGTATGGATTCTAAGGCATACATTAAGGCTCAGTGTACCTATAAACTGTAATGTGTTTTCTTAGTGAATACCAGGTCATCTCTCTAAGGGAAAGTGGCTCAGAAGCGGAGAGGAGAGGCACAAAGAAAGTGGCCACTTCCCTGGCGTTCATTCCTTTTCTATTTTTTTGGAAACAAAAATGTCGCCCTACACACACTCTACTGAGTACCAGCAACATGTGAACTGTGAGAACTTTGAGTTCGTCAGAGGGAAAGGTGCTAGAAATTTGAAACTTGTGCTTATTGAAGACACAAAATTAAAGGTGGATTCCAGGATTTCAGGTGTCTGGCTCTGTAACCGTGATGTGCATTCCTGCCCAGATTTGTGACAGTGAATGTAAGCTTCATTGAGGCATGAACTTGTCTGTCTTGTTGTTTACTTCTCAAGTCTCAGCTCCTAGAAACTGCTCGGCACGTGATAAGCAGTTATAAATAGTAGTTGAAAAATGAGGAAAGATGGGCTTCCTTCTTGGAACAAATACTAAGAAAAGCAAAAAGGAGGCGTGCAAGACAGGTTACTTACCGAACTTAGCTATGCAGGGTTCACTGGCAGTCTGTGGGGGAAGAAAAAGAAGAGCCAGTCAGGAGGATGGCCGTGGCACAGCCTTCTTGATGGGGTTATTTGGTTAGAGGCTTCAGATCCTGAAGCAAACTTCTTTTCCCTCGCCATATTACAAAATCCTGCCCTCCACTTTGCCTTGCCTGTTTTAGCTCTCCTTTGCAGATGGCTGGCTCCGTCTTCCCCTTATCACCTAACAGCCCTTTTGGGTGTTCTAGGCCAAAGTTAAAGTCTCATCCCATCCACCTAACAGGACAATTATTTGATCTCGGACTCTCCTCCTCTTGGGCCATAGGAATTATCTATAAACAGTAGTCTTCACACCCCAGTCCCTACACCATGATCCATCGGCATGTGAAAAGAAAATAATAGAATCTCTAGTTAAGTTTATCTTTATTTTTAATAACGTTAAACTGTAGACGTATTCACAATGCAGGCTGGTAAAGCCGCCCTCATCTAATATCCAGACAATCACACCGTTTACAGTAACTGAGGTAACATGAGGAGACTAGCTTCAAACTGTTGTGACATATCACAGTTCACTTGCTACAAGAAGCCACCAGTGTGATGAATTCTATAAATACTGGTATTTAAATGCTAAAGACTTTAAAATACTTAGTAGTAAAATAAGGCATAACCACAAAAAAAATTTTTGTTCCGTGTAAAGTTCATTAGCTTCCTTGCAGAAAAGGGCTTAGGGGACTGTTTGAACTTAAAGATATTGCACATTTTTCTTTTATGGGATTTCTTTGGCTGCTGTGGTAGGAATAAAGCAAAGAGAGGCCAGGGCCAAAGCAGTGAGACCAGCTAAACGATCACTGTAATCATCTAGGCAAGAAAGCATGGTGCCTCTGACCAAGGTGCTGGCTATCCCGACGTGGATATGGGATGAGAAAATGAGAAGACAAAGATGGTCCAAGATGTTGGGCATCGGTAACTGAAAAGATAAAGTTGTTAATCACTGAAATGAGCAAGATTTAAGAGGAGTAAATTGAGAGGAAAGAATCATGAGCTCACTTTTGGACATATCAAGTTTATGACTGATACTTCTGACATACCCAGGTAGACGCGGGTGTCAGGTAGGCCTCTGGATCTACGAGGATGGAATTTAAGGAGTTTTGATGATATACATTTTGGAATCTTTAGCTTCTATGAGATACTTTATGGTGTGAGGCTGTGCTAGATTGTCAAGGGAGTGAGTACAGACAGAGAGGAGCACTGAAACACTGCAGGGTTTGGAGGTCAGGAAATGAGGAAGAAACACCAAAGGAGACCAGTGAGTCAGAAGGGAAACTTGAAGAGTGTGGTATTGGAAACAAAGAGAAGAAAGTATTTCAGAGACATGTGATCAGCTCTATCAAATGCTGCTGTTGGGTCAAGTGAGGTAGGACAGGGAATTAACTGATGGATTTGATAATATGGTAGCCGTTGGGGTTCTTGGCAAAAGTAGTTTCTGTGATGCGGTGAGGACAGAAGCTTAATTAGAATGGATTTAAGGCTAAATGAGAAAAGAAAAATCAGGGGAATTTTGCTGTAAGGGAAAACGGAAAAATTAAGTGGAGCCTGGATGGGGATGAGAGGTCAGAGAAATGTTTCGATTTTATTGTTTTTCTTAGTCTTTGGTTTTGTTTTAACATGGAGGAACTGACAACATGGTTATCTGTTGCCATTTGATGGGAATGTTCCAGCAAAGGGGAAGGAGGGGTGTGAAATAGAATGTAAGAGCAAGGAGATAATTGTCGAAGCAGTCAATGCCCTTAAGTAAGAAAGGACAGAATCTGGTTCATAGGAGGCCTTAGATAGGTTCATGAACAATTCATGCACAGTGACAAGATGGTAGACAAGTGGTAGATATGATGGGGAGCTTTGGAACTTCTTCTTTCCTGCCTACTTCTATTTTTTCATAGAATTTGGAGGCAAGGTTTTCAAGTGAGAAAGAGAATGAAGAAAAGATATTGCATATTTAAACTAAAGTCAAAGGAATAAAATAGTCCAGTAGAGGAGAGTGGAGAAATAAATATAGGTTATGACAGTTAAAATTGTGAATCAAAGTAAATTAGCTTAGAATATAATCTTCAAATTATTGTATCACAAAATGTTAAACTAAGGTTAAGAAAATAAAAGAAACACATTTATTGAATTACTGAAATATTATTTCGGTTATATTAGAAATGTTTATATATGTAAAATATAATATTTTGGTAAAAGCAAAATAGTTTTGCACTGTGAATATACTATTTCAAGCATGTCATTTGGTTCCTTATAAGTTTTCATTTTGTGTATCTTTTTATTATACCTGGTATTAGCCCTTATTGCTAACATAATAAATTAGCATATACAGTGGGATTATACTCAAAAATATTTTGTTGGGGGCGCCTGGGTGGCTCGGTGGGTTAAAGCCTCTGCCTTCGGCTCAGGTCATGATCCCAGGGTTTTGGGATCGAGCCCCGCATCGGGCTCTCTGCTCGGCAGGGAGCCTGCTTCCCTTCATCTCTCTGCCTTGCCTCTCTGCCTACCTGTGATCTCTGTCTGTCAAATAAAAAAAAAAAAAAAAAAATCTTTAAAAATATTTTGTTGATAAGGAGGTCCAGTCAGAAAGTTTGGATTCCTACAATTGTCTTTGCTCTTGCAATCATTTCATTAGGAGACACCCTTTTGGGGTGTCTTAAAAGAAATGCTGAAATTCAGTTTAGTTTGATCCATGATAGGCATGTGCTAGTTTATCTTCCGTTTTCTCACTTATAAAATGGGAGACATAACAGCACCTAGTTTACTGATGGTGTTTATGGGCTTAAATATAATAATCATGAAGAAGGGCTTTGCCCATACAGATCTGGTCCTGCTTATTAAATATTAGCTGTTTCGATAATGATGCTGACCATAATGAAAAACGGAACAAAACATTGATCCTATAATCCCGGCCCGCATAGTAAGCAAGAGAAACACACACAATTCATAGTCCTCGCCTCTTAAGCAGCTAATGATCTTTCTAGAAACACATGATCACACACATGAGGCAATTGGGTAACAACCTCAATATAAGTGAGTGCGAAAGACTGTGGCACAGATAGCATCTGTGGTGTCTCCCATCGTGCATAGAGAGTGTGTGGAGAAACCTGAGGCCACAAATTAGTTGCCAGAGACAGAAATCATGGGTGCTGCACTAGGGCTGCTTTAATGCCTACTTAGAACTCCAGAAACCACCACTGACATTTTCTACTGCCACAAATGAGAATCTGTCCAATCACAAAAATCCTCTATTTGGCAGTAAGGTATAGTCTTTATTTTTATTATTTTTTTATTGTGTTTTGTTAGTCACCCTACAAGACATCATTAGTTTTTGATGTAGTGTTCCAAGACTCATTGTTTATGTCTTTAGCTGAGGAAATGAAACAGACGAATAAGGAATGTCCGTTTTGGTAAAAGCCTTTTTAAATTTATCCTCATTAAGTTTAAATTTTTTAAATTAAATTACGATGTCAGCAGTAATGCGAATATGAATGACTGTAATCTATCAGAGCCTGCTATGGGTCAGGCACTGTCCCATCTCATTAATCCTTACTGTAGGTCTAAAGGGTAGGAAGTAGCATGCTCCTTTGCAGATGAGGAAGTGCGTCTGAGAGGGATTAAGTAACTAACCCAACGTCATGCAGCTGATAAGAGGCTATGCTGAGATCCAAACAGCCCGTCTGATTCAAAAGTCTCACCCCTACTACTCTGTGGGGGCAGTTTCTATTTATAATACCGCTGATGTTTAGGAGAGAGGTAAATATCCATTTATGAAGAAGCATATGGGACTTTCCATTTAATTTAATTCATTTTTGCTTTGAAGGAGCAATTGCTCTTGTAACTCCATTATGACATAAGCCCAGATTTAAACGTTTGGGTTCAAATGACCAAAACAATAGTTCTTTCTTCAAACCAACAACCAACCCTACTTAGATCACCATTTGGAAATAGACTCTATTCTGCTTCTAAGTACAAACCCGACTTCTCCTTTTGGAAGCATCTTTCACTTCATTGAAGCAGGGAACTCTTCTGAACATTCGTTTTTTGGGTCTTTTTGTTTTGTTGTGTTTCGTTTTAGAGATAACTTCTGTGAGGCTATTTTCACTGAGGGGTAGACCAAACTCCTTGGGTTCATAGCCAACCCTTCCAGTTGAATGTCTTTTGAAAGATAGGGATGGGGGAGGAGAAAGATTGTGCTCCCAAAGAAATTTCTGTTGGTGTAGAGGAAGCCGATCTTCCTGTCTAATCCTTTTTGAATTAGTGCCTAGAGATGTTGGAAAGTGGGATTTTGCATACAAAAACTAGAGAGGATAAAAAAAAAAAAAACCCTCCAAGGTTCATGTGTATGGTAAGAAGGTGGAAGCAGTCACCTCGTCGTGACTCGCCGTCCACTAGCCGCACAGCCCTCTTTCCCTGAGACACTTATTTGTGGCCGATGAGGGACGGGAAGTGCAGCCAAGTGGAAAATGAGTCACTGCGTCGCGTCAGCCGGGCCTTTGGTTTTTCCTACAGGAAATAAGCCTTTATGGCATCCAATCATGATCATAGCCTGAAAACCTTTAAGATCTCCCCAAATTTGAAATAAACTCTAGGCTACTTCTTTAGAGGGGGAACCTTTCATTGAGAAGATGCACATTGTCTAGGAGAGAGAATCAGAGCTTGAGCACATGGGCTTGATCAAGTTCAGTTCTGGCAAGAGGCCTTCTAGGTACCTCTGGCATCACTAGACATCCTCTTTCCCTTTGCAGAAGCCACTGTGTTCCTTTGAGAAGGACATATTCAGCCCCTTCTATGCATTGGTTCCCTAGCCATATGTAGGAGTGGGTAACACCTATAACATTGTCTTATATTCTTCAGGAAATCTGGTTAAAAATTGAGGTTGCTCTAGAGGGGTGAAGTCTTCCAAAGTTAAGCTATTGCTATTCTCGCCCTTCCTTTTCTTCACGAATCAAAACACTCAGAATTCCTGACAATTCTTTTCTTTCTGTTCAAGCATCACTTCTCCAGAAAGTTCAGACTTCTGCTTGATACATTCCTGGAGAGAGTAGGGGTGTGATTAGAAAGGCCTCTGTTGCATATCCTTGTGTACAGTTGGGGAATACAGATTAATGGTTTAATGTCTAGGAATGTGACCAAAGCTACACTTCCCCTAACTAAATTAATACCAGCAACTACCGTGTCCTTCCTCCTGTGTCTTTTCTCAGTGGCTTTTAAATTAAGTCACAGAAACACATTTTTGGAGATTTCACCAGCCACTCCCCTTTAAAAAATGTGTCTGCAGGTGCTAATTGCATATGGCCCTTTCTTAGATAGGCATATACTACTATCTTCTCTCCAAGGTGCAGAATCTTCAAATGTACCCCCAAATAGTCTAACTCTTAAGTTAAATAAAACATTTCTTATTTTCTTTTGGTCAGTGCTATGTAGTCAACAGTCAGAAAAATTTAAGAAGAATCTAATATATCTCCAGTTCTTTTACTAGACCCACAACTTGGGTTGGAGCTCAATGGGAAATTCCTGATAAGCATCAGGGGCTTCCCAAATACAAATGTGCTTCCTCCTTCTTCCATGAAGCCTTCCCTGATCACTCTAGCCCAAAGCCATTGTCCCCTATTTTGAATTCCTAAAGCATTTATGCTCTCTATTATCCTTAGATAAATTATTAATCACTGTATTTTATAGCTGGAAGGGGCACTGTAATGAACAAATCCATTCTCCTACCACCATTTTTCAGATGAAGAAACTGAGAACCAGGAAGACTAAATGTCTTTCTTAAATTCATACAGCTAGGGAGACCTAGAACAAGAATCCAGATCTTACTTCCTAGTTCAGTGCCATTTCCTTCCACGAAGATGCACTAACCACCATTCACTCACCTTCTTCTTTCATTATCTCCTTATATCTTTTCCCTCAATAAGACTATATGTTGCATCCCATTCCTTGAAGGCAGGCATATGTTTTATACCTTTCTACATTTTATACCTTTATCCCATCAAGAGGGGTTAACAGAGTTCCAGAAAGGGAGAAAGTATTCCCAGGCATCTATCAATTGACTGATTTAATTAAATGATTCCATCTGACCCAGCTGTGCAGCTAACATGTAGCATTTTCTAGTACCTTTCATTTCAAAACATTTATATAAACCTCAAAAGCCATATGCCATGACAAACTTGAAACTTTTTGCATTTTCTATACCCACACGTCTCTTCCAACTAGTTCTAACAATACTGAATGGCAATGATAATAAATAGACTTCAAAAGAAAGGCAGCAATTTTAGGTACTATGATCTCCTTACCTTGAATGGAAGAAAAGTGAGAATTAGTGTACTGAAGGAGAAAAGCAACAGCAAAGGAGCTATCACTGAGTAGAGGCACCATTGCTTCCAGGATGATCTGTGTGTCCCTTGAGGACCTGAATGGCTTAAAGGCATATCTTCCATGAGGCTCAAACTCGTTCTCTGCAGGAATAAGAGCTCTGGAAAGCAGAAATTCACAAGTGATGGTCCAGTGATGCAACTAGTCAGTTTTGTGGTATGTTAATTAGCAGTGGGTGTAATAGGCGGGGTTTTCCTTTTGATTCTGTGTGTTGGAAAACGATACTTTTGGGCTAAGTGATGACTCTCATTTGGCAAAGGACCAAATGCACTGAAAGGAACAGAGGGCTAGAAGCCAACACAGACAGAGAGGATGAAAAAAAACCAACACAAGGAACTTACAGAGGGAAAAAGTTCTTTTCTGAAGAGGAAGTACAGTACTGTGTAACATTACAAATTAATTTTAGATAAGGAAATTACTTATAAAAGAAGAAATAAAGTTCAACATTAAACCCTGTCATGCTCTAGATATCATGTATGTGTAAGGCAGGGGTTGGGGATCTAGGGAGGCTAGGGTGCATGGTTTGGAAAAAAGAGTTTCATCAATTTCTAGGATATAAAATATGTTCCTTTTAAAATAGTCTCTAGAATACAGCTGCATTACTAGAATTTCATTTTTAAAAAATATAAATACAACAAGCCCAGTTTTCTCACATCTGATCATTTTAAAACCCTGAAAGTTTCATACTGGCATCAAATAAAGTTATCATACAAAATGATGTTTTCCTACACTTGCATATGTTGTGAGCTTATACTCCAAAATACTTGAGTTTCTTTCTGGCACCGAAAGTGCTGATTTACTACAAAATTGAGGAAGTCCCTGGTTCTCTGTACTTCAGTGTTTCCATCTGTTCAATGGAATACCTACCTTTTTTTTTTTTTTTTTTTAAACAGAATGCCAGGATCATGTGCTAAAAAGAACATGGATTTTTAAATCCGAACTGAGAGGAGAGCCTGGCACTACCCAGCTCTTACCTGGCCTTTGGCATGATACTTGACTTCTCTGTTTCGTTCATTTTTAAATTGAGAAAATTCCCACTTCACGAGGATTGAGAATGAAATGAATGTGAAAAATCTGCCTTATATGAGATGTTCCATAAGTGTTTATCTCTTTTCCACCCTTCTTAAATACTATACTGTAGTATACTATATACAGTCTAAATTTGGAATCCATCACAAAATCCTGGAAAGTAATGATTTAAAAGAAATATTTACAGCAGGGTATTATTCAACTGAAGTTCTTTTAAATAAAAGTTTAAATGAAAGCATATTGAAGAAATTATTTTTTAATTTAGGAGAATCAAAGTTTTTTTTTTTTTTTTTAAATCAGGGGGAAAAGGCTTACAGATTTAAGATCCTCATTTATAAAAGAGAAAGCTAAAGATAATAGAGGTTTTGTGGTGGGTCACACCATGAAATGCTGGGTGTAGTGGACTGGGAACCTGAGCTCAGGGATACTAACTATCTTCTAACCGACCATCTTCTCTTAATATCACACTATTTGTAACAGTATTTCTCCCTGTGGTGTCACATTTTAACTTGGCCTTATTTTACCTTGATCAATCAGCTATCTCTGAAGAAGAATCCAGAGTCAGAGAGGAATAATTTTTCAGTACAACAGTGTTTCTGTCCCTCTGTGCTAGGTGTTGGGATACAGAGATGAATAACAGACTGACCCTAAAAGAACCATACATTGTACCTAGAACTGCGGTACTCAAATCAAGTCTGTAATGCACATGCACAAGGACAGAATTTAAAACTGACTCCTGAAAATTTAGACTTCTGCTTCTTTGAACTGCTCCCTCTCCTGTCTCCTTTCCAAACTTTAGATGGAAATGTCTCTGCTTACTCACTTCAGTAAACATTTATTCAAATGAAGAACTGTTCCAAATAAAATCCAGTTCCTCCTTCTACCCTTAACTAAGGGTATACTATACCCTTATTTATTATTTTAACTTAATGAAAGTATCTTAAGAAAGATAACATGCTTATCTCAAGAAGAATACATTCCAGGGCTTCTTTTCATGAAACGGGGTTCCGAAATGAAGGAACTTCAAGTTAGAACAAGTGCTAGTAGGGAAGACTTTTGAAATTCTGGAGTAATGAGTCACCACCATTGGTTCATTTTTGGTCTAAGCTGTAAGAATTGACGTCTCAGATGCGACCTCTTAGGACACAACAAGAGCACCAAACTCAAGCCTTTGTATTTATGACCTAACACTGGATCACATACTTAGAATGAGATTTTTTTTTTCAATTAAGTATGTTGAACCTTTCCTATCAGCTTGCTACTGTTCTAAGAGCTTTGGGAGATATAAAAAGTCACAGGTGTCAAGGAATTTCCCACACACTAAATTGAAACCTTAAGCAGAGGCCCAAATGAATACTAGAGGACAGAGTCCAGAGAACAGAAAAATCTGGATAAACTAAATTAACTGAGAACACAAGTTAGAAATGGATTGAGAGGAGAGAGGAAGGAGCTCTTTGTTGTGGGAGCCATAAAACCTGAGGAATAAATATTCAGAGGTATAAACATCATCAAATGTTAGAAAACATTTTAAAAGCTTAATATGAACAAAGGCAAAATACCAGATTTTTTAATGGATCTAGTAGTTCTCATTCAAGAGCTGCAAAATAAGGAACTCAGAAAAACTCGTAAAAGAAAATCCTATATGTTTTGGGTTTAAGAGAAAGAATGTAAGACATGTTTGATTAAGTTATTTTAACTGTATTCTTGGTTGTTTCAAATTTGGGATGAGTTAGATATATAGAAACGTGGCTCTAGCTCAGTTATTGTCCACATTACACTAACACGAATTGGGCACCGATTATGTGTCTTCTCTGTGCACAGATGGTTCCATCTGAGCATTTAGCAACCCTCTATTGACATCCATATTTAAAAATGATGAGACTGACGTTTGAGAGGATAAATCAGTAGTCCATACTAATAGAGATTGAATCCCCATCTTTTGAATTCCAGAACTCTAATTTTTCTGCCTCTATATGCTGAAATATATGTGAAGTGGATGCTGTGTGGAAGAAACAGAGTGGGATACATATTAAAATCTGTGAGAAAATATTAGATGGACATCAGATTCCTCCAAAGCCATGTATTACTCAGGTCTGCATGCCTTGCCACATTCTTTTTATATACTACTTACCATGACTTTATCCTTGGGACAGTCTATAGTGTAGCATACTCAGTCAGAAATACTCAATATATCAGAACTCAGTAATGCTGCACAACTGATTTTGCTTACTCTAGACACCAGAGTATTCACTCTTGTGACAAATAAGTCCCATTTAGCTTGAAGTTACATAGAGATAGATAGATAGATAGATGATAGATAGATACATAGATGACATATAATAGGCATGATACATAAATAGGGTCTTAAACTCAGAATTTTATAAAGACAACAACAGTCTCTACTAAAATTAATAAACAGATTTAATAAAGAGAATTGTGTACAGCTAATTATACATAAATATATATACAACCATACACATATATGTATAATATATGTATTTATACACATATTTATATGTGATATGTACAACAAATTTTAAGATACACAGAGACTTCTTGTATCAATTTCCAGATCATTCTAAGAAAAAATAACCCTTATCAGGATGGTCTAGGAAATAGTTGAAATTCAAATTGGGTTTTCCTTATTTCACTATTTGAAGATGACATGATACTATACAGAGAAAATCCTAAGGAGTCCACCAAAAACTACTGGGACTGACAAATTAATTCAAAGTAAAGTCACAGGATACAAAATCAATGTACAGAAATCTGTTGCATTCCTAAACACTAATAATGAAACAGCAGAAAGTGAAATTAAGAAAACAATCCCATTCGCAATTGCATCAAAACAATAAAATATCCAGGAATAAATTTAACCAAAGAGGTAAAATACCTGTACCTTGAAAACTATAAAACAGATTAAAGAAATTCAAGACAATGCAAAGAAATGGAAAGGCATTCCATGCTCATGTGTTAGGAGGAAAAACATTGTTAAGATATATACTACGCAAAGCAATCTGTTACAGATCTAATAAAAATATCAACAGCATTGTCCACAGAACTAGACCAAACATCTTAAAATTTTTATGGAACCAGAAGAGAGGAGTACTCAGAAGTATCCAAGACAATCTTGAAAAGTAAAACCAAAATTCAGACTTCAAGTTGTATTTTTTCAAGCTGTAGTAATCAAAACAGTATGATAATGGCACAAAAATAGACACATAGATCAATCGAATAGAAAACCCCAAAATAAACCACAAATAAATAGTCAACTAATCTTTGGCAAAGGAGGAATGAACATACAATAGGAAAAAGTCTCTTCAACACATGGTGTTGGGAACACTGGACAGTTACATGCAAAATAATGAAACTGGACTGCTGTCTTAGACAGTACACAAACTCAAAATGGTTTAAAGACCTAAATGTGAGACCTGAGATGATAAAAATCTTAGAAGTAAGCACAAGCAGTAATTTTTCTGACACTGGCAGTAGCAGCATTTTTCTAGATGTCTCCTGAAGCAAGGGACATAAAAGCAAAAATAAACTATTGGGATTACATCAAAATGTAAAGCTGTACAACAAAGGAAACAGTCAACAAAACTCAAAGGAAATTTACTGAATGGGAGAAGATATCTGCAAATGATGTATCCAATAAAAGGTTAGTATCCAAAATATATAAAGAACTTATAAAACTCAACACCCATAAAACAAATAATACACCTAAAAGACATTTTAATTGGATTATTAAATGGGCAGAAGATGTGAACAGATATTTCTCCAAAGAAGATGTAGAGATGGCCAACAGATACATGAAAAGATACTCAACATCACTGATTATCAGGGAAATGCAAATCAAAAGTACAATGAGCTATCACTTCACACCTGTCAGAAAGACTAAAATAAAAAACACAAGAAACAAGTATTGGTGAGGATGTGGAGAAAAAGGAACCCTCATGCGCTGTTGGCGGGAATGCGAACTGGTGTGACTACTGAGGAAATACTTGCCCATCAGTGTTCAAGTCCTTAACATTGTATTTGGTACATAGAAGACATTCAATAATGTTTTCTAAATGAACAAGGGGAACAACACGTCCTTTTGTGATATTTTGGAATCCTTTTTATAGAAAAGCCA